TCACCTGATTTTTTTTTTTACCAAAATCAATACCGGTAAGTAATTCCGAATAGTACCGATATTTATTTCAACCCCGTTGTCGCCAAATACGGGCCATTGAAACATATGTACGATAACTTTAGATAACCAACTGGAGTAGTCATTCCTTAAAAGTCCACGCGTAACCATAAAGTTTTACATCGTCCACAGCCCAAGACTAGCTTTGTCGGTTGTTATTATTATCACTAAATTAATATTTTCAAGAAAATTGAAGGAGCTCAGGTTAATGGATTTTTCAATCAGCGTCCATCAGAGACGTCATGATGATTATCATACAGACTTTTTGTGTGTACGGCAAAATATTTATCAAATAATGTCGAAAGCAGAAGTAAATCGAAATAGCCTAATTCATCAATTAGAGGACCAGCAAAAATAAAAAAGCCTTGAAAAATGCTTTTTTCGACCGATTATCAACCTCAATCGATTGATCGGAGCAAAGTTATTCGTTTTTATTTTTGAATCCCGTTATTCCAAACTGGGTCTCATCATGGTGGCTCTCTTGTCTCTTTTTGTTAATCTGTCCCTTTACCGTCCTGCTGATATCGTAGTGAATCGTTTTGAAAATTTGTTAGAACAGTGGGTCGCTGAAGAAAATCTCTAAAAAAAAACCTAGTACAAACACAGAGACACCCACACCCACCCACAGACGTCTAAACGACCACATAAGCACACGACCAAAAGCACAATTTCGCTTAGCAACTATTATGTACATGACCCCAAACACAGATCGATGACCTCTACATTTTTCCACTTTTTTCTCATACATCAAACTATTAGTTGTCCGCATTACGAACACAAGCTGTATATTTGGTTTCACTCAAATAGAGGATAGTTACGTCGCTTCTAATAGCTCAGCTATTAAGGCTCGATGTGTGACTAGTACATCGCGCTGTGACCTGAAATTTCTGACGTTCTATGCGAACGGGGATGAAATATTTGCCATTTTCATGATGGCGGGCAAACACAAAGGATATTTTATTCATCTGATTCTATTTTCCTTTCGTTCGTGCCGTTTATTGGTTTGCGTTTTTGTCAATAATAATGCTTGAAATTTTCGTCTTCGTTACCCGGGCGCCATCAAACACTTTAGCTGCTAAAGCACTTTATAGACATAGCAATTTTGTAAAACTTCTTCCTTCCCATAGTTACATCTTTCTCTAGTTTTTATTGTCTGTTACCGAACTACATCTGTTGAAGGAGCCTTTACAATAAGCGCCGCCACATTATACTATAACCCCCGACTGGGCTAATTTTTTTTAACCCATATGCGTACGACACTAGAACTTAGCACCTCTCCCGGTTCCTGTTGACTCGACTGGCTATTTTAAGAGCTGACCAACTAGTTTTCGATTTCAAGAGATTAGTTGATAGGTAAGTGCTTATAAAATGCTTACCGCTCTAGGCGAGATCGTGACAGTACGAATTAAATATAGAGTGTCTAAAAAAAAGCAATAAATTTATCAATCCTATTCAGATGGACTGGAGCTGGTATCGCCATATGCCCAAGCACCGATCGGGCGCTCGAAACATGGTTGTTACCTGTTGTTCGACAAATAATTATAGTAAACGTTATAAAATACTGTACATATAGTTTTTACTGATCCTTTTCTATCTCAGTCATGCTACTCCCATATGTACAGGTTATAGTAGTTTGTAGATACTTTGTTTGTTTAGGTTGTTTCTAGGAGCGACAGCATGAACAGCCTTTCGCTGCTGGTTATCACACGAATACGTTATGGCATTTGTGAATAACTATAAATTGTCATAGACTATCCAAACATGCCCCTCACATTCGCGTGTTCTGTTCTAAGAAAAGCGTATGCATTTATAATACGCGATAATGGAAAGGTACAAACCATGTTGTGCGATGTGTGCAGAAAAAAGATACTATCGTATACTTTTAAAGTTTAAACATCTGGGGCCAATCTCGATTTTAAACTGGTAAAGTAAAGGACATCTATCATCATGTGGTATGTCTTCTTTAGATGTCTCCAACGAGAACTATGTGTAATGGGTATCTTCAACGGTACTCTGGTGGTCGTTATTTGTTCTTAGAAAGTTGTCTTCGAGATATGGTAACTCGTCCACGGGACGAATTTCCTCCACATTAACTTCGAAGATGTGCTAGATGTTAACTCAGGAGACGTTACCTGTACGCACAATAGTTGCAAACGGATGAATATAGGTTCCTTGCTGAATAGAAACCAATGAGGCATTCTCCGTGTAAATGCATGCGTGTTCGCACATCAAAGAGACGCAATATGACTATTGATCAAGGCAGCGCCAATTTATTAGATCTGCTGTTTTAATTCGTTCTCTCTATTCTAGACAATAGGACAGACAGAGGTGGTATTGCGCACAAAGGTCGGGCGTGCGTAGTATTGATGAGATCAGAACTAAATTATAATGATGCCCACTTTATTTCACGTATTTTCACTTATTTATGCCCTTATTATATTCGCTTAACGTTGGCATATGTTCTACGGAGTGACAAGTGCTCATCATAGCGTACGCAATTGCTACAGAAGCCGGAAAAAGTACACGACAAAATCCCAAGTTCAAGGCTTTCCGGAGACACGAGCTAGTTTAGTCCAGTGTGTTTTTCTTCAGCTCAAAACACGGTTTCTAGATGCTATAGCTGTTCGTTGCGTACAAGCGACGTAGCTTCAGTTTGCGTAGGTGAACTTATGGCATTTGTCAACGGAAGGCCATTTCGGCCTTTAACGTTTAGCTGGCTATAAATATATACATTATTATTATTATTTTTTTTTTTTCGAAAATAAAAAATGATTTGCTTCGCTTGAAAAGGCCGCTTACATTCACAGAGTTGGTGAAATTTTTCTGGAAGAAGCGAATGCGCATCTGTAAGGCATCGCTACCTATACTTTCACGTTGTTTTATAATGCTGTATCATAGACAATCTTCTTTATTGAACGCAAGTAAGACTGGCCACTTTGCCATGGGTTCGAAGGTAATGAAAAGTGTGAATCAGATTGCGCCATGTGAGTATCTGTTTCGGAAGAACTTCTATACGATGCTAGAAACTAGGTGAAGTTTCTGACATTGCATGCATACGTGTCGTGTGTATTTGGCGAGGACCATCTTCTTAGAATTGCTTCAAATGAGCGTTTTTTCAAGTTGAAAGCTTAATCTTTGTTGGTTCACGGCGTAAGCGACACTACTCTGGATAGCCACTGGTACGAACAGCACCTGATTCAGCGTTGCACATTTTTCTGTTTTATCGCCGGGAAAATCAAGACCGAAAAGAAATCACGTCTAATCATCGGCAAACGGCGAAGCCCAACCGCCAGCTGGTAAAAGAGTCGACGCTCTATGACCAATCGCTGTTGGCGGCGCAAACGCCGAATGGTTCAGGCCAGGCCGAGCATGGCGTCGTCCGGGAATTCTCGCGCGCTGCGCGGGTTCTTACCTCGCTGTTACTGCGACTGCTAGCGTTATTACCACTGTAATCGTTACCAGTGAGCTGCTCCGAAGAAACGAATCTTATCAACATCGTTTTGGAGTCAGCGACGAATATGGAGAGGCGCCCTCTGAGCTAGTCTGTTCGGAATAGATCACACATACGCGGCAGAAATAGCGGCAACAGCAACTGCAGAAGCAATTCAAGGGACCAGTCGATGACCGAAGTCGACCCAATTACCCATTTCTGCTAGACAATTTCGGATTTCAGACAATTTCGAACAGAAGTGGTGCCGCAGGCCCTTCTACTTATTGTGATGCCGATGCTTACCAACGACCGCCAGAGCCGTCCAAGTTCGGTGCGCTTACTTACGCTGGACAGATCTCCTGATGTGCGCCGTGCACAAATATGTGAATAGAAGAGGGAGAGAGGGAGAGAGAGAGAGTGAGAGAGAGAAAAAACAACCCTAGAGAGCTCTTGGCCATTCCATGCTACAAAAATATTTTTGCGTGTAATGATGATGATGATGAAAAGGAAAGAGATAGCGGTATACGCCAATCATTGGACGCTGAAAGAGCCAGTGAAGCGGTTGTAGCTCACGACAAACGTCGACTACTACTGTCCAGTTAACTGAACGACGAGCGATACGTGCAGTATGTTTTGCATATCCGTTCACCCGCAAACATGAAACCGCACACAAATCCATATCGAACAGTCGTGGGCCTCTGATATGCGGTGCGCTAGACAGCAGCAGATTTATCCCAGTTTTTTTGTTATTAGTTAACGAAACGTGAACCGCATACTTCTGGTGCTATGACATCACTGTTGACAATGTTGCCATCAAAGTGCACAGAGTCACTGGTTGTAGAATGACTACGACCAAATAGAGGGGCCGCATTAAGTAGGAGCGTCAGTGAGAGTGTAACAGGCTAGCTACACTTTCCCGAAATTACCTTTGGCTTCTTGACGAAGAAGCCTATTTTGTATCGCTCTGCATGTAGGGCACCTTACAAAACTAGGCTCATTTGAACCTTACGAAAACTGCGTGCCGCAAAGTGAGCTATTACAGTACAACGATCATTTCTTGTAAGCCATTCCAGTGGCGTAGGGAATTGAGATACTGCCATTGAAATCATGGTACTAGGCCCATTGATAAAAGCTGAGAGTATAATATACCGCATAAATGGAAATTCCGTCGATGCACGGTAATGGCTTCCAACACAGAGGATGACTTATCGGAAGCTTATCGTTGCGACCGGAAAAGGTGTACTACTACAGTACATCGACAGTTTCTAGTTTCAATGAACGTTTGCGCTCGTCGACATTTGTGAGAGCATAAAACGCACTTTAACAACAAACCAGCGGCTATTCATTATTTGACTGGGTCAAAGAATAATTTAGGCATGTGACAGCAAGTGAACCCGAGGCCTTGTCCTCATATTCACCATGTGTCGAAAGCGGCTAAACCGTGACTGAACCCCATTTGTGATCAAAGTAAAGGCCAATATAACAGATAATTTTACTTTTTTGTTACTTGCAGGTTACATGGCAGACATTGAGATGGAGCAACCGGATTTTTTGACACGGTTTTTCCACCTGCCGCAGGATCCTCGGACAAAAGACTGGATTATGGTGAAATATCCGTCGATCATCGTCTGGCTCACTCTGGGCTATTTGTATTTCGTCAAGGTATGGGGTCCTGCGTACATGAAGAGTCGTCCTCCATACGACCTTAAAATAGCCATTCGAATTTACAACGGACTAAACGTTGTACTCAGCACAGGTTTCCTTGCCACCGTCCTACGCCTCACATACCTAGGTGGAGGATATAATTTTTTCTGTCAAGGTAAGCAGAACCTCAAGATCGCTTAGCACCCGCGCATTCCTATCACCTACAAGGCTGCTGAAATCATTATTTTTTATGCTCATGGATTTGGAGCGAACGAAAGGACTGTGCTGGCATACATTTAACGTACATATATTCCACACCTACGTGCATATCTATCCATTATTTTCTACTAACGGTAGTATGTGGACTGTTTTCGGTTACATTTTACGTTTCATCCTTTAGGCATGACATTCTCGACAGACGAGAAGTCCCTGACACTGCTTCAAGTCTATTGGTGGTTACGACTGCTGCGTATTGCTGACTACCTCGATACAGTATTTTTTGTTCTTCGGAAAAAGTTCAATCAGGTATCGACCCTGCATGTGGTGCACCATTGCCTTGTCGTGTTCGATTGCTGGTTTTGGCAGAGAATTGGCACTGATGGCCATACCTCGTTCATCATCTGTCTTAATACATTTGTACATGTGATCATGTACACATACTATTTCCTATCTGCTTTCGGGCCAGACATGCAAAAATATCTCTGGTGGAAACGCTATCTGACCCAGCTCCAGATCGTTCAATTCATTATTGCCATGCTGCACGGTAGCATTCCGCTGTTCGTCGACTGTGGCTATCCGAGGTTATACGTGTATTTGGCTATGCCACAAGGAGTTCTGTTTTTATATTTGTTTGTCCAGTTTTACGTGAATGCCTACAAGGAACGCCGGCGGCAGGAAGCTTATGGAATGAAGGCCAAGACGGCCAACGGATATTCCACTGTCTGTTCGCCTCAAGTCGGAGGCGTTAAAACTGACTAATTACATAATGTGCGCAGAGGGGAACAAAGAGAAAAAGCAATTCCAATGCTGAATCGGTTTCCACGTCCATGTCCAAAATGTAATAATCTAATGAAGCTCAATCGTAGACATTTCGCTGGGAAACAATAGGCCCTGGAACGACTGAACCGTTCAATTAAAATGTATTTAAACAGGGTCTGATACAAACAACCTCTGCGGAAGTCGTACGGATGCCGACCAAGTTATAGAGCTAACTTATAACTCTAATGGATGCTCGTCAGCCGGCTAATGTACTTGACTAAATGACTAAATGTAAGATAATTGGACTTGCTAGGCTCAAGAAATATTATTTACTCACAAAAAGAAAGCTGAATTGTGCTCATGGGGAATAAAAGCAGAGGTGCTATAGTCGAATATATTTGAGATTTATGCATCTACCGTTGTTTGACTGATTCCGAAATGCCTTAACACTAGCTTGCATTAAATTATAAATGTTGCTATTCTATTGAAGTCTATTAAAGTGCTTATGTGCAGCAAAAATAAGTTGCGCAGCCTGAGCGAGTACGTATTCTGAGTGGAAATGGTCTTCGTAGCAGCAATTTAAACTAATAACGAATATCTAAGAGCTCCGAAAAACAATTCTATAGATACATTTCTTCTCGTTTCTACGTACAGGTGACGAGAGGATAAATATTTATCGTTAGTATTTGTGCAAGTCTAAGGTGAAGCTGTAGATAGATATCTGTATATAACAGCAGCCTACTAGGAATTCGACAAGTTAAATGAACAAGCCAAGAAGTTGTAACAGTATTATAATGTAACAAAAAGAACAAATAAATGCTCAAGTCTCCTGATCTAGAGGACTTTTGTAATGTTTTATTAGTAAAAGTTAATGTCTAACTTCTAACTGTACATTTTTCACAAGAAGTGTGTGCTATATTTTTTTCTAGGGTTTGCTGTAGGTAGATATCGAAACATGTCGAACCAAGTAATGATATTTTCTTCGCCTTTATTTGGTAAGCGCTTAATACAACCTAGGAATCGTAAGCCAAATTCAGTTGTAATAAAATTTGTCTTAAAATTAAAAACTCAGAAAGTAAAGTTGAAAATTGTCCGCGTTGTGGGTGACTTGTAAAATAATCTAGAAAATAAAGAATATACAAATAAATAAAGTAAAAACAAATTTCATTCAAATAGTGTTATAAATATTAAAAACAGTGGATTTAATTATCAGACAATAGAAATCGTGCTTCGCATTGTAGGGGTAACGGTCCACCACGCATGATCTCTCACTACAAAAACCAATAGTTTATCAAACACTGTTAAAAACAAAAACAGACCAGTAAAAATGGCATGTACCCGTACGGCGTAGCAACATTGTTATCCTGAGCTGATATAATTTGACCTTTTAAAGCAAAATGTATGTTTTCTACGTTAACTCCTATACTTGGAGTATCTAGAGAACCATCATACGACTCAGCAACTATAATTTAGGTGCGTACTTCTATAACAAAGGACGTGCAGTGCTGGTTTGGCGGGCGTTCTCATGCATATGTGGGCGATAAAACGTTTTTTAGCATAACTGAAGTACGCGTACTTAATGTTACTACAGGTTAAGAAACCGGTCTACTTTGTTTTGCGGCCTAATCCATAAATCAAGTTACCTGGAAGTTTAAATTTGCGTCCCTCATGCAGTCGCAGACGCAGGATTTCTGCGGAAGGCTAGCGAATCCATCGTTCAGCTAATACGATGAACCCAAGAATTTTATAGCAAGCATACAAGTGTATAGAAATTTTAGGAAAATCAGCCAAAGCTATGCTGAACGTCTTGTTGGAGATTTCTAGCACACATATATAAGCAGCTATGCTTAGCTACAAGCACTCATGTTTTTAGTCAACTGTTTTCAGACTTACTTTTCTTTCCTTTCCTTTATTTAATATCTCGTTGACTTGTTATAGTTAAGAGATTTTTATTTTTTTCTATATTTCGTTCGTCGTTTGGCGGATACATGGATACGATAACTTGCTCTGTGCTCAACAAACCGAATTATCGTTTTACTTCTCACATATTTTCTGTTAGTAATGGATTCTGCTTCCGAGAGTTCAAAGTTCGATTGTTCGATTCCCAACCTTACAGTTTAAGAATATACGAAACTCGTTCGATAATTTGAACTTCCGAAAGGAAAACACATAGTTTTAGCACCAGATGACTCAACGTTTATTTTGGCAGTTATTCGAATCCTTTGCGTAATATTTTGTCTGTACGTATAATATCTATTATAAACATGCTATCTGAACTTATGCGTGAATCATCACTTTAAATAATGTGGATAATATATACAGGTGAGCTTTTCTCTGCGTACAGACAAACATTCATTTAACTTAGTTGTTTATATATTGTATTCTGTTGTACGATGAGATTTAATTATACATAATTGCATATGTCTATACTAATGTCTTTCGTGTGCGGTCACATATCGATGTATATAATATATTGACGAGAAGAACTGACCTTGACAAGAGATTGCCTAGAGACATCTTATTCGAGTGAATGCCAACTCCCTGTAGAAAGGGGAATAAATTCGTTGCAAAAAGCATATTCAATCTAAACTGTATAACACCATTCAGTCTAACCTTACTGACGATACTCTATTATTCAGCCCCTACCTTGTCTACTTCCCCCAGCCTTCGACTCTTGACAAGCGTTACATTGTCTGAACGGAATTAACAAACCAAATTATATTTGTCAAATGCGTCATAGTCCCTTAGAGACACCTACAATTTCCTATCGAGCTTGATAAAGCGTTTAATTTGAGTGAATGGAATCGGCACATCAAATCGTCCTCTTCTTCTTGCGTTGTGCCCTCTTTCAATGCTCATACATTCGATGTGGCTTAGTTTCCTTCAATTGATATATTAACTAAGTACATGGACATATCGTTTTCTATTCGCCAGTGTATAATAATAGCCAGTGTTAACAGGGTTTTATCTATGTAACCGACGCCAAAGGCTAACAGTGCGCTAATATCGTCTAGCGACTCTTTTCAGCTCAGTTCAGTCTTTGTTTCATGGCATTGCGTCCATTCTTATCTTATTCGTAGTAGATACACGTTGATTTACACATTCGTTCTTAAAACCTCGTTTCTATACACATGCAAAATCTACACTGGTAACATTGCAACATCTTTTCACTATGTTCATGCACCATTTCATCGCACTCATAAATACATGGTTGAGCCATGAGGCAATAGAACAGTTTAATGCCAATCTAAAGTCGTTAAATGTTCACAAGTAACGTATGCTTATAAACAGTTCATTCTGTATCTATGTAAATATTCAGCTGTACATTTATCTCTCTCGCCTTCACTCACGTCCAGCCAGTTCAGCGGCCGATGCTGGTGACACCTCATTCATCCATCCATTCATTCATTCATTCGTATTGGCTCCACAAAGTGCTCTCGAATTTTCGGCCGATCTCAAGGTGTCATTGTTTACATGTGGCACGATCGAATGCAAGATCATCTTCGTGGTGTGAGCTGCAGCCGTTTCTGGAGTACGATTAAATCGAGGGAGGAGCTTTTAAAGGTCAATTGGTGTCCACTTTTCGTTGCGGCCCATTTTTCTGACTGGTCATCTTGAACGTATTTCGGAAGAACATGTAGAACACGGAGCTGGACTAGCGATATTTCTCGCTACTATTGAGTGAAATTAAGCGAATCTTCTAACATATCACTACATTATGGAACGAATTCAACTGGGGCCCACGTATCTTTCTACCTAATCATTTTTCTCCAAGGCGATTCGAATTACAACTACGGAAAAAACGCTTGAGTAGGGAGAACTGGCACTAAACTATGAATAATATGAGAATTGTCTTGCACTTGACGGCTGCCAAATATGCTCTAGAAATAGAAAAAGCTCGCACTATAGCTCTATTGCTGCCAGTATATTTACTATGGAAGTTTAGAAAACGATATCTGCGTCCAATGTCACCGCTGTTTCGAGTCCGTAGGCTTTTTGTTCATAGTCGGACTCAATCAAATTTAATGCTAGGTAGGTTCAGCCAGTCGTCTGGATTTGTCGTTATACACAAGAATGCATTTAGCGGCACATCATATGTTATAGAGTTCCTTATTAATATCAGCAGAGGGGAATTCAATTTGACGTTGCCAGATCTCTTGGCATGAGCGTTGCCAAATGAAAAACCACTCATATTAATTAGCAAAGACTAGTTGACGTTAGTAGTAAGGGCAATAGAGAGACATTGAGCAAAATCGACTTTGTAAAGGATTCCGGTTAGAGCTTTTTTGATGGAGTCAGGCGAAAACCCGTCACTGCAACGAGTGAACATTAAATCTGCCTCACTCATTTCGTTTTCCGTTACTGTTGTTGTTGCTGTTGTTGTTGCTGCTGCTGCTGTTGCTGCTGCTGCTGCTGCTACTGCTGCGGTTTATCGTCAGTTTGGAGCGACGGTAAACTGAATAGAAGATGCTGAAACAGTCACCGATGGCTTGAGCTTTTGCTATACTGCGGTGTCCCTCGGCAGGACAGCGAGCAGGCTTTCATATCGCGTACCACCCAATGAATGCATACTGCAACCAGGAAACGTGACGAGGGCAACCCAACGTTGATCGGAAGGTTAGACGTGTCGACGTGCAACAAATACAATTGTTTACCGTGTGCAACTACGATCATTACTATTGTTATTGTCGCATTGTTAAGAATTCGATACCGAAACGAGCAAGTGCTAACTTAGAAGCGTATTGTGATAATATGTGGCTTCAACAGAAAAAAGTCTTAGAAAACGGTGAGGCATGCTAAGACGGGATAGGGAACCGGTTTGAGCTGATGGTATTTTTTTTCTCATTAGATAGTGAGTAGAAATAGAGATGCTTAGCTTGACAGTTTAAATTGCTATTTTTTTTAAGAAGTGAACCTTATTTAGATAACACAGAACTAATAGCACAGCACAGTAATATCAAATCGCTCCGTAGCAAGTAACGGACCGGATAGCTGTAAGGGAAAGTTGAAAGGGAAAAAACAAATACAATCGCTCAAGCCACCTAAACCCCATCGGCGAAAGCGAGCGTCTACCCTATACATGCACGCTCGTAATTACTTCGGTAACTCATTCTGTATCCACCGCCAAAGCCAAACAAAGTGCCAGCAAAACTACTTTCGCGTACAGCAGCTCATCGTTCGATTTCATGTCTATTATCATCTCAAAATTGGCAGCGCTCACGTTACTGAAAGCATGACGATAGAACTTTCGCCATTATTACCTGCATGAGACATCATGGTTACATATGTCTCAGACGAATATGGTTACGCAATCGATACAGTACGATATTAGTATGATATAGCACAACTTATAAGCTACAGCTATTCATATCTAACTTATAAGGAGACCAGTTGAACATGATGGAAATCTTGCAGGCAAAATATCATATAATGTAAAGCTCATAAACCAAGCTACCATCCAGGAGGTACGAATCACTGGCCTTAGAACACAGAACAAATACATTGTAACCGGCCTAAGCTTTTTTAAAAGCCGTGGGTCGTCAAATAAAAGTTTTAGAATGTTCGTAAAGTAACACTCGAAGAAATAATCGCTACTTTCGAGAGATGGATCGCAGTCAATAGCTCAATCATCAATCAAGCAATTGGTGAGAGTTAATAAGTCCATTGTAAAGCCGTAGCATTCATAGTAATTCGCCAATTTGAATCAATCAAGGTTACGGTGTTAAATTAGATCATATAGCATTGCTCAATTTAGCTGCTAAATATTCAATCGGTTTCAATTTCGTGTATCAGTGATCAGTTGCGAAGCGAACATGCCTTGTGGAAGCAGCGACTGCGGAGGCCAACGAGCCGCACGAGAGGCCGGATTTCATGCCGCTGCCAGCGACCGCGCGGCTTCTTCCAAATTCCCCGGGCCCCGCGTACTTTAGTGATGAAGCCTTGTCATAATCAGTCTCGTCGATCGAATCATGCAAATATCTGAAAAAGTGCGACCACGTAACACATGAACGTCTGCAACGGCCGAATAATGAGGCTAAACACCCTAGTAAACAAACAACCACCCAAGGACATCTGACAGCAACATCTTGGGAGCACTTCCGTTATTTGAGTAGCGGATAAAATTATAATAGAATGTAAACGGATTAAGCTAATCCTTTTACGTAGCTATTTTGGACACCACTGAGAAAGTCCACAGGCAAGATAAATACAGTAACGGTCGCTCTTTTTTTTTTTTTTTTGTTCTCTAGAGAACGTCAATGGCCAGCATTGCTGCAACAATTTAGAGCACAGTGATCTCTTCTACACTTTACGCACTCGTATCACGCAGATACCCCTTCTACCGATCAAGGCGCCCGAGCCGTCACTGCTTTTGAATGCGAAATAGAAGAGGTTCAGATCTTTGCGCGATGGGTTTTAATAAATACGTGATGTCATATTTATATATTTATAAATAATTCTAGCTTTTCTTTAATAACGCTTTGTTGTATAAAAATCACAAGCGAGCAAGGCTGATTCATTTACTGTATTCTAGAATCTTGTTTTGAGAATAGTCAAGCGTCTGAAAGTACAAAACAAATCCGAATAGCGAGTACTTTATGGCCGATCTACGTTGAAGGACACTTACAATGTGTACTATGATGATGAAAAACGTTTACAAGTAATGCCGTGACAAAATAAAATAAAAAAGACTGAAAGAAAGGTTGGTTGTGCCTGTAAACAGAAACCTTAGCATCCGATATTAACTCGCAATTAGCTTCTATTCTATTTATCCATTAACACGCCAACGTACGTATTTACAAAATGATATGAAGTAAATAAAATTTCGCTAAATCATATGTAAACCATCTTTCAGTCAGGGTTTTCATTTAACTCTTAAAGTGTCATTAAATCACACGCATTCTAGCCATTCCATGTTATGCGCGCAAGATCACGCCTATTGCAGAAGTCGCCAAGCCTTGGAAAATGATCACACGTTCCGCTAGAGCCGACGTGCGATAACCCGTCATCCAGCTCAAACGGAGCCAAATGTCGCGATCAAAACTGGAAGCGCCTTTCCAAGCGAAGAATTTACGCGTTTTGTGCTACCGAAGTCCAGATATCACGCTACCCACCGTTCCGAGTAGAGGATGATTCTCTTGCCTTGGTATTCTACTGTGGATTTCGTAAGACTAAGTATCCTTTGTCTGTCGGCCTGTACCGATAAATTATACCTAAAAAGCACTATCGTATTACAAATGCCAAACAGGCCAGTCTGTCAACAAAATAATGATTGAAAAAAGCGTGCAGCCCCAACATCTTTTTTCAAAGATAAGCAAAAACATTGTATCATATTCGGTAATGCGGCAAATTGTCAGGTTCCTTGAATCTGTAATATATAATCCAGATTTTAGTAAGTTCAGCATACGGGCGACTACCTACTAAAAGTAATGGCTCTATGAGATTTTGTAGAATGTATGTACTTATTGGTAAATTTAATATATATAAGCACAATTTCGAATCAATGAGTAAATCGTTTTAAATCGCCGCTTTCGAGCAAGAAAATACTCTAAACGTTTCCATTATCATTTACAGACATACTTATATACAATAAAAGACTCAGTATGAGAGCTGACCACCAATGCCAAACGCATTCATACGTAAGTCTTTCCCAGAAACTGCCGTATGTTGGGTTTGGAATCTGCAAGCCCTCGCTGGCAGATTTCACCAGTCTCAAACGTCGATGCGACATTCGGCATCAACGAGAACCTCATCATTTTTTGAGTATCAACATTAACATTGTGCTTTTTGTTTGTGTTCGGCTTTTCATTTAGTAAAAGTCATCATCGTACCTGGATGCGCGGCAGTAACAGCAGAAGCCGACACACGCGAGAAACAAAAATAGTCCCGCCATAGCTGAAACGAAGTACAGTGATGTTTTGTAGACCCGATTTTCATACTCCCACGGCAATTCGTTCCAGTATGGCCAGAAATGTTCGGCCCGGCCGAAAATTCCCGGAACATACTGATTCCAAAATTGTGCTTGCTTTTGACGATAGTCGCGGTACATGAAAGACGATGAATTCTGAGCCTCATAGTAAGTAGCGTTCAATGACAGATATTGAAGGTTACCTGAAAGAATGCAACATAATAGATATAATTATCCTAGTTTGACAAAATTCTGAGTAAGTTAACGGCAATAGTAAAGGATGCAATGCACGAGTCTATGTGGTCAACAACTAACAGCAATCTACCTTTAAGCATAGGTTTCCAGTCAATGACGCCGAAAAGAGCATTCGGTGTCGGAGTGCCTTCCTTAGCAAAATTAGCCCAGGCTTCCATAAGCAACTGGCTCATGTTTCGATCTCCGTCGCTCCAGGTCACTGACTCGAAGTTGTAGTCGGTAGGGTAAAACTTAGGATCCATGAAAGGTGCCCCTGAAACGAGGATTGACTCAAGGTCGTGCGGTACACGGTCCCATTCGCGTTGCGACTTGAGGAAGTAGGCCGAAGTTAAGGAATAGTTCATCACGTACTGGTACACTGGCACGTTGATTTCCAATAGCAGTTTCACCATCCTATCCATAGGCGCTGCGTACAAGGCGTCTGAGAACATCTGGAATGAACCATTGAATCATAACGTCGAAACCAACAACTTACGTTATTCTCCTATACAAATATTACATGGTTGTCCAGTACGTACCCACATATCTGAAAAATCACCTCAAACCCGCAACCTCTGTGACGCGCACACAACTTACATTCACGTATTCTTCGATAAGAAGAGATGAATTGTCTGGCTGCATCCAGGGCGTATACATGAAGCGAATTGCGTCAATGATCGCATCTTCGTTAATTGTATAGTTGTAAGTTTTCGCATAGGCCCGAATCTTTGAGTCAAATGTATCCCAGGTCATTTGGTAACCGATGTTGCGAAGCTCTTGGTCTTCCTTTGCTATAAATGAAGCATCATTCCTACTTACGCCGGTCATGTAGGCAATTTTTTCGATACGACCAGGCAGGGGCATCTGAAATGTTTATTCGCTATGTTTACTTGCCTTCAAAAAAAAATTGCCTTTTTACCAACTTGAACAACGGTCTCCACATGAATTTGGAAGTTAAAATCTTAGAAGGATAGACAAAATTATACCTTATGCTCAAGATAAGCGAGTGGGGTGTATGGCATTACGGGGGACTTGAATCGTGTATTTCGATCGAGCACTGGTCCCCAAGGGAGCCAACCCCGTTCGGGTTTCACTGTTGTCAAAGTGAATTCAACACTATTATTGCTTTTTCTGGAATAAAATAAGATGTCAATGAAAATTTAGTCATTCCAATAGACTTCAATTATGAATTTACAACAATGATCGGCATATGCGCATTCAACGCACTACAACAAACTACAGAGTAAAATTCACCCATATGTAAATACGTATGATCAAAAATGACATGACGGAACGGGTTGCGTTGGCCTTGAGGCCATTAGGTTAATATACAAAATATACGCCCAGGTACACAGTACCGCTTCAGACACTCAACGAGCTTCCAGCTATCCATAGCCCAGCATCCTATTTGCTCGCCATAAAGACGGGAGATATTTCGCACAAAAATCGCATCATCAATTGAGGCCCAGTCGGCGGTTGCACTTCCAGACATTGCAATCACGCGTTTGATGTGCACTGCAAAAACGAAAGAATAAACACTTAAATATGACGATAATAATAACTATCCTTTAACACAAGGCCGATGCACTTAGCACTCTATGTAGGTGTCGTAATAACACTTAATTATAGATTTGTATTATTTAAAAAGAACATACGGTCTTCTCCATAAATCTGTTGCATGAGATGAATTCCAGCAGCTGCCGCTCCGGCGCCAGGTCCAAAGAGGGTGATTCGTTCTTGATCACCTCCAAACCTATCGATATTGTGGTAAACCCAATGAATCGCTGCCCGTTGATCCATTAGACCATAGTTCCCAGCTGTATACACAAAACACAACGTCGGATGAACTGCGCTCTTGGCGATCGTAACAGGACGAATATTATTTTCTAATTTCATATCATTCATCAATAGATAATGTCTTTCGCAAGTCGTTCGGCCCTTGAACATATACTCTGAAGTTATCAAGCTCAGACGCTGTCTTCGCTCAGAGTTCTAATTTCATTAATTACGAAAGGCTTACCTGATGAATTATCTCCGGTTGATAGAAAACCGAGGGCGCCAAGTCGGTAATTGAGTGTCACAACGATAACTCTCTGAGATGCGGCTAGCATGTGTCCTGGGAACAGATTGCCGGATCCGTGACTGAACTCTCCATCATGCAGATACACCATGACCGCGGACCGCTGCCCACTGTTCACTTCATCCTATTGTAAAGATCATCGTCGTTATGAACTGGCTTAAGTCAGTCGTTTATAATACAGAGGTCAACGTACAACATACCCTTTAGAGCACACTGTATCTATACACAAAACGTTTTATATTTTAAATGCATTTAGTACATACCGTAAGCGACTGGTGAGTTACGAAAGTACTAAGGTTGTTGCAGGGACTTAAAAATTGACTCCGAAGCTCGGCTTAGGCCACTGCTGTTCAAAAATTAGTTTTCCTTTAGACAACAGCCTAATCTAGCAAAGGCCTATGACGTGGCTACGGCAAATATATACGACTACAGAGAAATACGCTTGCATTGCATCAAATCACTCGTTTTATCTTCCTTCTCTTTATCTTAATATCCACTAGCACATTATTATAATAGCCTTCGTTTTTGTGTTCTGATCCTTAATATACTCCCTATCGGTGACTACTATTCAGATTCGCTATTTGAACATGACAAGGTTAGTGTCACTCACATTAGGCGTATAAATATTGAGATAGAGGCAATCTTCGCTGATATGACTTATGCCTTTCATCGAACCGGTGAAATTCGTATGTTGCAGACAAGATGCCCGAAACTTTTTCGCTTCAACGTTACCACGAAACTGGATAGGCTGAGGGTCCTGAGAAGAACACAGTATAAAGACGTATGAATGCATACGAGTAATACTAAGAATTTACATATGACACCCATTTTCAATAATAATTGTAGCAAGATTTTGTTACTACTTGTCAGACAGACGCACAGAGAAGCTTTCTTGGTCTTCATGTTCATTACTAGCTATGTGCGTCGTTCACATATGCGAGACATATATCGAATAACCCACTCTGAGTCGATAAGATCCGAGAGGTGGTTCAGCATAAGGAATTCCTAAATAGACAATCGCCGAAGTTGGATAATCTCTTTTCGGAAGTTCTTGTCCACCCTGATGAGCCGGTCGATCATCTCGTTTTGTTGACGGGGTATCGCACATGTAAACAACCTTGCCTGCAATCAGCGAAAATGGTGACTGCGCGTATTTCACTAGTAAGGAGTGCGATGATATTTACGCTGGCCAAAAAAGGCTAGTACGCAGTGGCTGAAACTATACGACGATGCATTATATATATACTGTTAATGTCCAGCATGACATTTCATCTTCTATTGTTTTGTCTGCTTAGGGTGTTCGAAATGAATCAGTGTTCTAATCAGAAGTGGAATTCACTAGCGCTTATTTTAACAGAATTTATAGTACGAAGTTCTATTGTATACAGCAAACTTTCTGTTGCCCCCTTTTTCGACAGTCCTGAAAGCTGATATTCTCGGCCAATGTCGTTCCCTTTATTATAATCTTTTTATTATAATGGATAAACCCCTTTTTTGAAATCCAGATTCTATATTCATTGAGCTTATATTCGGAATCGCCTGTAAATCCAGTGTATGTAAGCTCTTTAATGCATTACTTGTACAAATTATGCTTCTGCGACCACTTCCTACGATAGATTCCTATGCTAAATCATTATATTAGCAAATCCGTTATATCATAAGAAAAATCTGTACAAGCACTTTGTTAGGTAGCCTCCTTAGCCCTATCATTTATTATACACCCCATTTATTGTAGAAACTACGGCTACCCCTTAAAGTTGAAAGTTAGTTCATGCTCTGTATTTTAGAAAGCACGCAAGTGAGACCCCAAAAACCATTACCAAATGTTTCAGTCTATTCGATCATTAAATAGAAGACGTTAAGCTTCTAACTTGATATATATTAAAACTAGTTTAAATATAATGTGCAGCACACTTTGAATGATTCATATGGCTTTTTACAGTAACGGACTTTTATAGCTATAGGGTCAAGTCAATTAAATGAAAATCTTTCAGTTACAAAGGAGTACATACAGGTCAGTATACCAAGCGACGTTCCCATACAGGGCATAAGAAATGTAAAAATATGGGGACTTCAGGATCATCTGTGCGCCTAAAAAAATGGCAGTTATTTGGCGATAGCTCAGACTTACAAGGGCGCAGTAACTTTTTTTCGGTGTTTATAATGGCTGCGATGGATAACGAGTAGCACATAGTAGGCACAGAGAAATTAAAACTTTTCATTGTTCTTAATTAGTTGTGCTTTAGCTAGTGATGCACAATGAGATCGACAAATGCAGTAGGCACTCGTGTGCCAATTCAAGCAGTAGTTGTAGAGCCGTTACAGTTATATCTTGTTTTTTTTTTTGTTCGTAACCACCTTAGCTACTAACGCCGTCATTGCCCAACAAACATTAGCATCTACTTATAATGTGCAGACAACATAGTAGATTCCAGCTTGTAAAGCGCGGACCTAAATTCTAGCGCGGGATAACGCGTTAGATAATTAGACTAGGTATTGCTGTCACCACTGCAAACAGTTCTAAAACTCGCCGTTGCAATACAGTAGAGGCTCGATCACGTGACATGATCCACGGGTGACCGCAGGGATAACTACCATATCAGCGCATCGGCGCCTGTTTTATTACAATACCCAAGTAAATACCCGCCTGTAGTCTCCATCCTTCTTTTTCTGCTGCTGCGCATCGACTTGGCTGGCGCCCGTCGAAGATAAGCTGAGCAACGCGCAGGGATGGAATCAACTTTGAGAACCGTCGAAACTTTGTCATAAAAAGCTCTACTTTTATTCCCCGAGGCAATGCCTCCACTCCATCGCTAATCTTATTAACGATGTAGCTAGCGGTTCCAACTGTTGCTGTTGGCCATTGTGGCTAATTCTCACGCTAACGACGCGGATGACACCTCTAAATCAAGCACTGGGCACGGCAGCGTCGTTCGAAAGCAAATAACGGTAATAGTCGAGAACGAACAATGCAGACAGACACTCATCAACTACTCATTACTACAGATACCGTTCATATTGTTCGTCGGTGATAGCTGTGGCAGGATCTACCTCATACAGTCTTCAATATAGTGCAGCAGTTACATATTGCCCAGCGTCTACAGATATGGATGAGTAGCGCGTTGTGTGTAGCAAATACATAGCAAAATGCATGACGACCAGCGGCTTTGCACAACAGTAGGCGAAAGATTTTCAAGCGAAGGCGGCGAGAAATTACTCAGTATTAAACGCAATGAATATGATGTAGATTCGGTCATCCGGTAAGTTCATGTCAACCAACAGTCTGGATCGTAACAGGAACCGAAGGAGGTATAAAGGTTCTATGAGGTTTCTAGCCATCGCTCTGGACCAACTGCTCCAGTAGCGGCAAGTTGGAGAAAATACTTCTATAGAGGGATGGCAAGAGTACATATCGCGCAACATGTTACCGGCATTTGAGTGAAAAATCGCTGCAGAGAATCGTTTCCCTTTGAACGTGTAACTTTGATCATGCACCGGAAACGAATTGATCAGGTATAGTTGTGAGCAGAAGCAAAAAAGGGTGAAGGGGCATTTGCTGTTTAAGGGGCAAAGTTTGCTTCAGACTGGCCGTGACTTTGAGAACATTGCGAACCGAATAGACGGATGCAATAATATGCTCACAGGGACATTGTGCTATAGCTCGTGTTTCCGCGGGATGAAGTGAGGCATAGCGTCGGAAGCTTCAAACCAGAGTCTCCGGTTGCATTATGGCTGGACATACTATATAATACAGCATTTTACTTGTAAAGTTGTTAATAAAGTAAGTTGTTATACCTTATTAATACTTCTTTTAGCTTATGCAAAGGTAACACTGATGATACTAATACGCTGTAAAAAAATCACCGATTACTGGCGACTTTAAATATTATCGCAACGAAGTGTAATTCTCTGTTGAATTGTTTTTTCGAATTCCTTATATAAATCGATGATATAGTATAGGCACACACTGCTGTGATTGGTGCCTGTAAATAGACCTTTGTATTATTATGATTTTATGTTTGCAAAGTATTTAGTAATAAAATAATCAACTACATTTGCACAAATACAAATATAATAGCTCGCTGACCTTCCGAATTTCGGGGACCCAGTTTTTTCTTATATTTTTCAAAACGATATAGGATACGCCGCACAAAACTCTAACGAAGGGGTACAAATCGTCTGGTAATGTACTTGGGGGTGATCACTTCTTGATCCTTTGATTAAACTAAGCTTAGCGCTTAGTATTACTACTTAACCAGTTCATAAAACTTTTGAGGTCAAGCTAACTTTTAAAAACGGCTCTCTACGGCACAGGTTGCAACGTATTATGCTACCTTTCAACTAGTAATTTATTCTCTCGGCCACCACTTGAAATATGTTATAATTCCTACCCTGTTTTAGCTACCTGTTATCCATTATCTGAACTGCTAGAATTATGCCTGTCCATAGTCCCATGTTGCGGTCTAACACGTCACCCCTGCGCAGTAATTACTAAGGCAGATAACAATGTCATATATAAGAAGTTGAATGATATCAGTTCTTCGGAATTTCATAGTGCTCAGATTTTCCCTGAGTCATAATTTCATTTTAACACGTTAACGATCTGTAGTTAAAGTTTCTGCTACGTAATCCCTGCATTGAACGAACAGGGACCATTTGGGGGCGGCTGTCTATCAAGAAGCGGCATCGGCGACAAAAATCTATAGCCATATTTGTTGCACATACATTGATTCGTGTGTCTCAGATTATAAACAGTGAAGTCGTTAAACGACAGCTGTGATTAGACGCGTAAACGTGTTTAACAATGGCGATATTGCTTGATCTGATACGTTTTGCTACACACAGGCCGCAAATTGTATTGATCCAGTACGTACTTTAGAAAAGTCGGCACTTAGTTTTAGCCAGGATCAAGGATGTGGCTCTAGCGAATATGCTAAAAAACCTTTTTCCGAAGCAACATCCTTTAGATTCAAAGTGTGAAACAATCAATGCCTGTTCGTCTTTTGCGTCATTTATGTCCCTGGCTATTTTTCTATTACTATTATCCGACATATGTACCTATACATATGTAATACAATATGTAACAACTTGTTCTCGCTAACTTCGGTATGCGTTGCTGTCTTTTTTAGTCAACTTTGAATACAACACGAATAGACCATCTGTAAGAGAATCTCATGTCCTAAAAGAGAAAGGTTTTTGTTTTTTACGGTATCTATCTTTACTTCACTCCTTGTGGCTATATACGGAAAAGCGTAAACAGCGCACGAGCACAAAAGTGCTTGGAAGCTACTCTTCTTCTTCACTGGAGACCACCATTCTATATGTAATAGTTAGGTACCGAACGTAAAACACGATATATGGCAGCTAACAGAGTCCTACGATCTGCTGATTAGTATCATTATACTATCATCATTGTGATTATATCTAGTCGACATGCTTGGATTCCCGCCAGTTATCGCTGAGATGATGAGCAAACCCAGGCCACGGAGTAGATAATAAAATAAAATACGAAAAAAACAAACGTTAATCTAAAGGTACGCAATCTCGCAAACAAACACATTGGGGTGTTGGCTTGTCAGTTTACACCTGCTAAGTTAATTATTTTAATTGCGAAGAATAAAGCATAGACTATAGCTTATACATTATATGTTGAATAATGCTATAACTCTATCCGAGTTATTGAAACACACATATATCGCGTCTGTTAGAACCTAAGAAAATAAACCATTCATTAAACTGGAATTACAACAATGAAGTTAACAACAACGAGCCGCAACAGGACCTGCTATGTTACCAGTAAATGGCCGCTTATGGTAAAGTTCTACTATGAATTCTAACTGAAATAAACACCACGTTTGTCAGCCTTTAGATGGATTTAGGGCTATTATAGACAATAAAAAAATGTGCACATCCATCCTGTCGCCCGTCGACACGGTGCCCCCTTCCCCCACACTAGAAACAAAGCCAGTGACATCTCACTTCACTACATCCCAAAAAAGGAACAATAGCAAACGATACATAAAGGCGGATACATTAGAGACATATATTTTACGTTGCAAATAATCTTTACGTGGAACCACCGTCGAACGAATCAGAGGTGCGGACACGGAGTAAATGGACTAAAAGGCGATATCGATATTAAAAAATGGAACAACGGTAAAAATATGAACAGAGAGTACACAGAGGAACAAGACGAAAACAGAATGACTCAACAACGAAAATAATGTTCGAAATGGCTTTTTTTTCGCACGATTCTGTTCGTTGACTTCATGCTGTAAAACCAAATAGAACAAATATAAATTGATACGAAGGTTTAACGGGAACAAACAGTTTATGGAACTATGGTCTAACAGTATTGTTCTCACCCGATTATATAGCGGCTGTGTCGTCAGCACTCAACGTTAAATCAACTTAATTGTTTCACACGCACTACTTATATGTAAGTGTGTCGCAAATAAACGCCCCTTATGCTGCCTAAGTGGATCTGTCTGCGTAAGGGAAAAGTCGGTCGTGTATGAATAAATCTATGTAAGCCCATGTGAGTGAGCTACGAATTCGATAACTGGCCATGTTTATAAGAATAAGCTAGTTACGCTTTTAGTGTATAATTAATATAGTTGCTTTGTTATGTAGGGCAGATATAACACCGTTGGAAATGCTTACGTTTCTAAGCATTTTTACGAAGTGTCAAAAATCAGACAACCAACAAGTCTAGCAAACCAGTATTCTACGGTCAGTGCAAATCTAAAAGAGAGTTTTTTTAGCGTGCAGGTAGAACAAGCTAAGCAACCGGAAGGCATCCACCGTTTGCCAAAAATAAGGAACTTTGTTAGGTACGCAAAGGCCTTGACAGCGTTAAAAGAGCTATTAAATCCTTTTCTTTTTAGACAATGATCCCGAGAGAATGTTGGAATTTTACAAAACCACCATGTGTTCCTATTAATAATTCTTATTTTGTCCTGAATATACTAGTAGTTTCATAACGTATCCTTAACGCCATGAATAGACTAAGTAAAACCTGGCGCATATGGGTAGTTGATGAAATACCGTATGACAGCACTTTTATTCGAACTAGGACATTCGTCATTTCGGTTACAATCATAATAGGTCAAAGTTCAGTTTTGTTAACGCATGACGTCGAAAGTGACAAACTTACGGCGCATAAGAATTCGCAATTGCTCATGCTGCAGGGCTTTTTTTTTTAACAAATAATGACCAGGACAGCCTTAGATGACTACCATACGTTTCGCGAGTTAGGTAGTCAAATCTGTTCGGTTACACAAGTATAATGCTACATGTCCTTCATGAATCCGAAAAGCAATAGGTATACCGTGCCACATATATTTGCAGTACTTTCTGTACTCCAAATAATGTACTGCAGTAAACAGTCACCTATCAGTCATGTAATATATACTAATATACGTATGTCGGAATTTGTATTGATGCAATTCCTCAAAGCAACCCCTGCAAATACCATATTAAACATAAAAAAAAGCTTACACCAGTGAACGGTCTTTCAATAATCTTTGGTATTATGCATGGAAATAAATACACCCTAGTCAAGACGACCTACGTCCACCTAAACCTCTTTAATGAATACTATAATAGCTTTGAATAGTCATTGTAACAGAAAGAGATGGTTTTCATATACAAGTGTTATTGCTAAAAGTGTAAATTGTAATTTTATCGGTTGCGGCTACCGACCTATCAACTTTTTTCCGGAATACGTTTACGTTCACTTGAGTTTTTATCTTGATTATCATTTTTCATCTTAGTTCCATCTGTAACAGTACACCCATCTGTTATCATGTGATAGTCTCCATTTATTCGTTTACAAGCCCATGTTTCTCAACCAACTTTCGCTGTCCCTATGGACCGTCATACACTTTTAATGACTTTAGGTGCTCGTCCCATTATCGTTAGCTACTATGGTCCAAAATACTAGAATCATCGTTAGCGTAGGTGCACGCTAAGACTAAGCGGATGTATGTATTCCGCTATCTGTGGGATGCACGTTGCTTAAGGGGCGTGAGCCACCAGCTAGTCTGCATGCAAATGTCAGTAGATCTAGTGTAGTCCACACTTAGTGCAGATCACCATCGCTACAGCATTCGCATGATGGGACTGTCATCAGCAGAGTGATGCGGGAGACAGGTTTAACGAATCAACAGTAACAAGATGTTCCGCGTTCCCATTTTTCTAAGCAAAACCAACCCTCTTAGTTAGTCACTTGCTTAGCAAAAGAGTCACTGCAGCCAGTCACAGCCACTATTGCAGCTCAAGGGGTTTCCTTTGTTCCTAGTGGCGTGAAAAGCGCGTTTCGTGAGGGATTTGTTTTTAATCAAATAACATCGCTTAGTTTTCAGAAAACTACGACAGCCAGTTAGAACAAGTTTGTTTAACTGACGCTGTCGTTTCACCGTAGAGTACGGTACTGGTGAAATCCTGTTGCAGTGTTGATGAGCACTGACAGCTCGGAAGGTTCATATAACGAAGCCGGATAAGGTGGTCGTTCGCCAAACAACTCCGTACTTATCACTGATTTATACCTTGTTTCAGTACGAACAACATATAAAACAGAAGAAACACAGTCTTCTGCAAAACTCTTACTTCGAAACACAGGTCTCAGGTCTGCCATTTTTTCTATTAATAAGAAACACACACTTTTTGTACTACTTGATATTTTGAATTTCTTCAAGCCCATTTCTTTGTTTTAATGATGAGGTTTTATGGAAAAGTACTGACAGTAAACATGATTATGTTAAAACGTTGTAAAAAAATGGTCGATAGTAACTGAATTGACAAGGCAAATAACTACATTCGATGCAAGATACGTACCACATGTGTTTGTTTGCAAACGTAAGAGTTTACGCTTGCTCCAACAGGTCTTACATTTTAAAACGTCATGAGCTCAGCAGAAATCAACGCTAGGCCTTACTGAGGCATACATGCAAAGGTCAAGAATCTCTTCCGTTATTCACGCACTGGGTGTATAAAATTTTTCTAATAGGCCATATTTTCTTCACACCATCGGTGAAATACAGATCACCCAGCTAAGTACTTCTATTGAGATCAGCTATCTATAACTGACTACTCGTTGGAGATACCAATGAACAAAGATTAGTAATATAATTGTTTTTTTTTTCGTATTTTTATAGAGAAATCATCATAAATTTTCATCTTTAATTTATAAACGTTCTTAATCTTCACAGAGTACCAAATACTTTCAGCTTGATTTCCGTACCTACAGCTAGAGTCTAGGGTCCAGTAAACAGTACACGATATTATCGAACATACAGGATTAAGATGGCTAGCTTGTTATATATTATACATATAATTATAAATAAGTTAATTATAAATTAATCGTTACGAAATCTTTGTACAGCATGTAGCGCTCGAAAAGGAGGCTGTGGGCATGATATACATTTGTTTTGGGTATTCAATGATAATACGAACAGAAAAACCTCAGAGGTGCTTCACTCTGGTCTAAACACACTGCCAGCACGTAGCCAGTAAAAGGCTGTTGGTAAACCAACAATTCCACGAGGCATCGATAGCAATCATTCGTATTTATTCATTTGGTGGTTAGCGAAAACGTTGCATTCCATATGACTCACTAACTATTACCAAGCGGGAGAAAGGGATCATGACAGTAATTCAAGTTCGTCAAAAACGTCAGATGATTCATCGAGCTTTCGGCCATAGGAAGGCGTTGCTGGACGATTGAGATTTCGGCATCAATCCATAAGACTAATCCATTGTGGGTACGTTTGTTGAATGTTATAGATTATGATTTATAGTGGTGCGCGAGATCCTAGATGTTTCCCCTTTTTAATCCAGTTTGAGTCCGTAGGTTTGCTTGGTTCACAACAATAACATCGACTTTTATTCACACAATAATAATTATCACAACTGCAATAATAAACCTCCTGGTCTACCTCAACCTTACGCGGACACCCAAACCGTTAGCGCTAATGAATTAGATGGAGTATTTCGACCATAGCTGCCTGATGTTCCATAGGCTAACACTATATCTTACCTTCATACGTTCCAAAGTCAGTTACAACACTCTTTGTGAGAGGCAAATGCTCATACTGGAATACGCTACAACGGGAGTCACCATCCTCTTTGATTCGTTTCTCAAGATCAATTCCTGGAAAGCGATTCTCATATGGCATACGGCCATCAAGTATTCGCGGCCGCCCGTAGGCTGTGTAATCTGGCCGAAACTGCCCTTCCACTGAAAGGAACGACAGTAAAACAAGTATACAGACGGATAAACTTCCTCTAGGACACCACCGGCGCGTTACACCGACTCCGGCGCCTTCATTGGTGCTCATTATTTCACTACCCGAATTATCTAGCATCATTCACATTTCCGGCTTCCAACAAAAACAATATAGCTGTACTTCACTTAGACACAGGGATTCTCTCACGTCATCAGGTCAAACAAGCGCTCGTCATAGCCACCGCCAGTACACGTAATTCAGCTTAGCTTGAATTTTCTATCTCATTAAAACGTGTATGGTTAACGAAACTAACCGTAACAACAGTTACAAGTATCAGGGAGAGCGATCGTCGGCCCAAATCTCAATTCGCTTCATATACGCGCGATAGTTTCGTACGACGTTCCTATTAACGGTTGACTAGCACATAAATGACAAAGTTGTTGCAGCTGGTCGTACTGCAACGACTATTAGTAATAATGCTAATGCTTTTATTACGATGGCCGATAACTCTCTGACAGCTAATTTCTGTCATGGTGCGTTTCGGTTCAGGCTCGGCGCATTGTCCAATTCACGACACTCAGCTGTAGCTTTCTGTAAACCAGCCTACCGGCCAGATCGTTTGAGTCAGTCCCGCCGGAAAATCCGGTGCATTCTGTTATCAATTCGTCTTCTTCTTTTTCTTTTGCACCAACTACAGCCGCAATATGTAATATTATTACCAGCGGTTCGTTGGTCGTACGTTGTCTTTTCTTTGTCCTGCTGTTTTCGCGCCGTCCCTGCTTTTGTTGAGTTATTAGAATCTGGATGTTAAACAGTCGTCGGACCTGATAATGACCTGCGATTATATGATTTCAGCGTATGGGCCACGAGTTTAGCGAGAGATTTTTTTTCTTCTGCTAATTTGGCTTTCGCTTCTTCGGTAGTTTAGTGAGATAAGGGAGGAGCCATAGGTTTCTGCGTTATTCTGGCTAAATGCGACGTACAGTCGTCTCACCCATTTGGCTGGATGAACAGGAATTATTTTCCTCAATTATATTGTCACATAGTATACTAATATTATGTGCCGAAAAATATCACGACCTCTGGTCAAAACACAAATAGTATGAACTCTGTTGATTTACTAATCAACCAGATATTCTCATCAGGATAGTGTCGTGACTTTTTAGAAAGTTCAATCGGCAGGTTATGCTGTGCCAACGTTCACGGACACATCAAGGTGTAATAAACAAGCCATTCACTAGTTGCTGATCCAGAAGAGGTAACTCTTGACCACTCTCTTATTGCACTTTATGACAAACCCTCTGCGGGTCGACGGTCCTCTTTTTGTGACTTACAAAAGACAATAGGTCGACATAATGGCAATGTTTTTTTCTATGTTCGTTTTGACGCTGCCTCGCCACAGATATGTGGCTTCAGCAGATTGAAACAATTTTGATAAGTCGTCAACCTTGCCGTTCACTTTCTTTGTCTCTCACACTGTTACGCCCATATAGTTCAGCGCAGGTAGTGGTAAGCTGACTGATTGTCCGATACGCGTGCGTACTGAATGAGCGTTCATCGTAAAAAAGACATACGTATAGGCTCCCTAGCCGGAGACCTAGGTCGATACTGAGACCGTGATACTCTCGCCAGTAACATATAGTGATTCAAGCCGCCTGCAGTTTCGTGCACAGACACACAGGCGACTCATAGCAAGAACCGCTCACGCACTAGCAGCAAATACGCAACCGTTACTCTGTTATATCCTTGATCTTCTTTTCTGTCACTCACGCTATCCGCTAGAACTACTTCTCTTGGTAGTAGTACTCGTAATAATCGTAGTAGAAAGCATCAACACCTACAATCACATGAGCGGTCGAATCAACACAAGTGAATCAAAACAGAGATGGAGTAGTACAGTATCAATTTTTATAGATGCATTGCTTGTTGCTTCATATTCCAGTAGACTACAATGTTGTGTTGTCGATCGCGATTAGCATTGACATGCTGTTTGCTACGCGGCGACTGCTTCTTTAGACTTGTACCACTCATAACTCTATAGCGAATGCTTCTAAAATCTTCGCAATCCTTCGTTACTCTCCGAAGTAGCAACAGCCATGGCACTAACAGAGTCAACAGGTTTCACTGCCAACAGCAGAAGATCGCTAGTAGTCGCGAATGCCTCAGCCATTCCACTCGGTTCTGGTAGGCCGACAACTACCGCGGCTACGGTCGCTCGAACAACAGCAACGGTAGCGGCCTCAACGCTACCGCTGTCGTTATTTTGGCTCTACTATCAGTCGCTGACAGTCGACGTCAAAGAGTGACAACGGGCCGTTTCCTTGGAACCAGCGGTGGCGGCAGCACCACCACTGCTACAACAACGACGACGATGCCTACGATACACAAACGAGCCCTGAGAAGAGGAACGCGACGCGCAACGGCGAGGGGGAGTGGAAACTTGACGTTTGTTGCTATAGCAACCACGGATGACATCAGCCAGCTCAGCGTCAGCGGCATAAAGCGAGCTGGCGAACGGGCGACTGAGATAGTACTCGTTGGCTCTCGTTGGTAGAAAATGGTTGCTGGCCGTTTGGTAATGTAATGAATGAACACGCAGAGCTGGTGAAAGAAACTCGTTGTGCTTGCCTGTCAACTGCGGCGGTAGCAGCAACATTGGACATCAACGGACAGACGGAGAGACCAACGGCGCACGCTAATCCACCGATGCTTGAAAGGCACGTAAGGAACAATAAGCGAGGACTGTGGGGACGAACCTGCACAGGATATGCCCCGTGGCATAGGATATATAGTCATGATCGTTTGGCCGGATCAGTCCTCCGTCGGCAAGTTTGCGACTCTTGTTGCTATGGAAGGAAACCGGAAACGAAGAGATTGCAGCCTGTCGGAACTGCAGCTCTAATATACCCCGAATCTTAAACGAATAAACATGGAACAGGCAAAAAATCCTACCACAGAAAAAAATGTGTCACACACGATTACAAATCAATAGAACAACAGCATAATCCAATAGAATATATCACATATCAATACATAGCATATAGCGGTAAAAAGAAAAAGCAGTGTACGGTCCTGACGACAATAATCAATGCACAGAATAATGATCATACAAGAAAGACACGGATGAGACTATGAGCAACCGTATTTGCCGGAGTAGCGGACAAGTGAGTGACCGCTCCTCCGATTTTGTCCCGCTAGTACACCTGTCTGCCGTTATTAACAACCTGCATGGATCCGGATTCCCGTGAGTTCTGCGGCGATGCTTTACTCTTCCTAACCATGAAGACTCCAACAATTCAATCAATGACAGGAAGCTGACTCAAAGCAAAAATCATGTGACATTCCTATACGGATACATATGCTTACGGCTTGCTATTAATGGTTAGGACGGATTAGCAATTTTACAATACCGTCTATTGACACGATTGCCAAAAGCCTGCCAAACCTGTGTTGGATCTCGAACAAGCAAAAAAAAGTTAGGCCATTTTTAGCCTAGCTTTTTTGGCTCCACATGATGGTTTGTTCAAGCCCATACCCGTTGAAACATTGTAGCCAATTTATTGTACACAATGTAATATATGTTCAAGTTTGTTAGAACTCAAATCAACATAATTTATATACATAAAATCCAGCTGTTCACAAAACGGAACTCTTTGTTGAATTAAAGCTGCTTAGTCTGTAATAGCTTTTATCCGTAGTAACTGAATCTGTCAGCGTCATCAATAACGAGATCCAGAAGCTACGTTACTATGATATATTTCACGTAGCGTTAGCTGTTTCATAAACGACTGGTTATATTTATATGGACATCATATGTAATGATGATATTTACTTCAAATGATAGCACTCATTGTACCCATCAATCTGCAAACCTGTTTCTTTTGAAGTCATCGTAGAATAATCGATTTCTTAGTAAAAGTATTGATATCTGCCTGACTAGGAAAGTGTATATTTACTTAGTTATACAACAACGTTTACTATAATAATTTCAACTATTGTTTGAGTCGAGTTATCGTTCTGGCAAACACCGGATCAAATGCTATAAACGGATACTCTAACCAGACTCGTGCAATCCCAATAAGAGCCAGCAAAAAATGCGAAACTATTCTGTCCTTGCGACAAGTAACAATGCAAATAATATATCTGATTTGAAAAAAAATGACCTTCTTATAGTTAAAAATGTCTGAAAGTAGGCAGTGCATACCTTTGATAAGCGAATTATCTCAACACGAGCACAGCTGACAAAACGATCCATTCTTCATCCATAAATAAAATGTCCATGTTGGAAAGCTTTATGTGTTCGTAAATAGAATATTATTGAATTATACTTAATGGAGTTTAATCACGTGCAATGTTGCTACGCTTCTCTTGAAATGACCTACTTTTCATTGCGCCATTGCCTTGCATTTCCCCTCCCGTTAAATATTATCGTCACATGCCTAACAGAAATAACAAGAATGATGTGGGGTTCAAGATTGATTCTTCTCTCTAACGCCTCGTTGATAGCATTGAATTTAAAGCACCCTCGTCTTATAGATTATCATGGCGCACCAATATACGACAATCTGATCTTCCTTGATGAATTATCATCACCAGTTCCGCCTTTCTGGCAAAAACACACTCACTGTTTGTCCCGATAATCTCAACGCCGATCGTAGTCGCCACCTTATATGTGCCCTTTCACCTTTCGTTCATCGCAGCTGTTATAGTTAGTGGCTATAAAGGTCCATGCCCACCTAACTTAAAAGAACGGGTCTTTAGAGAAGTGCAACTTATTTTGTAGATTGAAACGAAATAGAAATATTACGAGAGAATTCGTCATTATCCCGACGCGACAGGACGAAAACAGTATGACATTCCTTAGAATCAATGTCCTGAAATTAGGTAATTAAAAAGATAATGCACGTTATGCTCGTACTATTGTAACTAAATGGAAAAAATAATCTATTTCTCGCCACCATGCTGATCGTATTATCGCTATGTGTGACTATAATTAGATCGCTTAGTTAAACCAAACTTCCATGAATATCGAAAACAATTTATGGGTGGGTTAAATAGAAGAATATTTGGTAAATGAAAAATTAATAAATGAAGAGCTCTATCTACAGAGGCTAATATTCTGGGTAATTTTGGAAGTCTGTTCGTAAACGAAATACAAGATAACAAGGACCTAAAAAACAGTAGAGGCATGTCGTTGCAGGTCAATGCAGGCGAACGGAGGTAGTTTTTTCGACGTCACGAAGATAGCAGTAAGGCAAGTAGCGACCTTCTACCTGTTGTGTATAAGTTAAAATCAATTGGTGCGGTCATATTATAAGTGAATGGATAATCTTTTGACATTTTCTTTAAGGGATCATTCAGAAAGCACCACTTGTCAGTGTCGCGGAACTATTGGGTAGTGTTTTTTGAAAAAAAGGTTTATAAATATTTGAATTAATTTTGTAATATGTAATAACTAATGATCTGAACTAAAATAGTGCAGCATGGATCGTATTACCAATATCTAAATTTTTCTAATAAATTTCTCACGACATTAGAAGTAGTTATTTTTATCTTGGGAGTGCAGGACATTCAGAAACTACAATACTACTATAATTAGGTACACTTACTCAAAACAGCGGGCATAAAATTAACCCTTTAATGGATGTAAGGTCACAGAATCAGTCGCGATTTCACTCGAAAATAGTCAGTCAAAAGCAAATCAAGCAGCAAGTTTGCTGAGATGTGGATAAAAAACGTACTAGCACACGATAACTACGTGATCCACGAAGATTTCTTAAATTTATTCTTGCAGTTTTATGTAGATTATTTGCATATTTAAGAAAAAAATCAGTTTCTCTCTCTCTCTCGCGCTGTATATATATAAGTTCTCTATCTGTCCTGTGCATCATTCATTTGCACATAACCTACGTTAACATATATATTTTCATAGACTATACTGGTCCGGAGATAGCTGTGGGCAAAAATGCTTTACATACAAAAAAAAACAGACCAGACAAATCTACAACACCACGGAACTACGCTTTGACAACGATCAGTTATTACTTACCTGTTTCTACGAGTTTTTTGAATATCATTTATACAGACTCTTATTTATTGTGAGGTTTCAATATTACGAACTAAATATATCCACTTTTTTTATGATACTAGAGTGTGAACACTTAACTCCTAGCGGTTCGAGGCACAGGAGGCGTATGCAATCTTTTAGTTCAAATTTTGCCGCGCTAGATGTGAGTCTGGGATGGAAAACAACGACGACGAAAACGAAGCATCCTAATGTTTTGTGTTGCTTCACAGCGCTCTCAGTGAGTTTGAGTCAAATTTGTGGTCTGTCTCGCGACCACTGCTGCTTCTGCACGAGTTCTATATATACATCATTATTTCACAGATATTCGAAGTAAGTAGACACTGAAGTTGGATATAGGAGCGATGAAAGTGATCAATGAACGCCAGCGAATAACAGTTTTTGCGACGATCTCGTTTCCGAGGGTTCTAGAAGCAGGACGCCGGGGTTTGCTATAGAATATCATACAAAAGAATAAACAAGTTGGATATTGGCATAATGCGATGCCTCTGTGCTCGGTTGCAGTCGATGCAAGCATGCTGTTCGTGAATTTTTGCTGTGTGGAACAAATACGTAGAACACGCCCATCCGCGTACGTGTCCACAATGCTCTCTAGTGGGATCAATATTGTCTATGCTACTGACTATAGGGTCCAACTTGTTTGTGTAGTTAGTTTTTAATGTTACCAAAGAAGACGTGCAACGTTGCAGAGATCGGCTTCTCGTGTGTAAGAACTTGTGGACACGAAAGTTGAGCAAATGTGGAACAAGCAAACGCCCGCCGAGAAATTGCGTTGGCGTGCAGCAATGTGTACGGTATCAAGCTGTGTCAGTTATGTCGCTCGATTTGAAGAGTCTTATGTCAAAACCGTGCTTTCGGTGAGGGGATAGTTCTAAAGATACGAAGACCACATCTCCGTTTTGATTCCATGGTATAATCGGGTCGCTTTAGAAAGAGAGGTACCCCTTTTTCCGGGCGATAGCTAGTCATATAATGTATAGCTTTTTGCGAGAAAATTTTGTTTCCAATCTACATTACTTCGCTTTGCTTGATTGTTGATAGTCGTCCGATTATGGCGCTTGATTGCCAATATCGATGTGACCTATAATTCGTGGCGAAAGAGCGCAAATTACACCCCATATATCTGATTTATTCTGAAATGATATGCGCGTCGGAACTTAACCTGTAACTACAGTTATAACCTTTGCTCAAACTGCCATTGGTGAAGACGATTATGCTGAATTATATTTTTTTATTAACTTTGATGTCTGCAACCAATGAAAAAGTTATTGCATCGGACAAATGAATCTATTCTTAGGTAGTCGTGAATCTCGGCATATTCAAAGAGTGATAGGGAGCTACCGTTTCTTTGTGATTTAATAAAAAAGAAACAAATGGTGAGTTAGTGACACTCGATGCTTCTGTTCACCATGATTATAACAGCAGAACTTCAACTGCAAAGAAGTTTACGGAAAGCTACTGAAATACAGTAGATTCAAAGGTTACGCTATCGATGGGCATAGTCAACGTAGAGCGTGGAATCGATCGAATCGAAGCCACCACAAAATTTTTACTCAGGGATATATTTCTATCAGTAGAAGTCAGAATGTTATTTTCAGTCGGCCATCATACCGTACTAGGTCGAATTATTTTTTTTGAATCGTGATTACTATGACTGTATCTGTTGTTGTTTGTAACCCGTTAACTTGCAACGTACGCTCTTGTTAGGTGATTAAAAAAAACGTTCGTCTTAGCTGTCTCTCAGCTGTTGCTTCTGGAGCAAGCCTCATCACAACTGTTTAGTTAGCATTGCTTCAAGGACCTGTCAGGACGAACAATTTAATACAAGCAGTCTGAAAGGACAGAACAGAGTTGTTAAACATAAAAATGGATTACTCTGCTCATCACTGGTTTCACTGGAGGACCAAAGTGTGCCCACACTCAGTCTAGAGTACCTATGGGTCTCCCCGGTTAGTTAAGCAAATACATTACCAGTGCACCAGTTACGATAACTGTTACGTCAGTTGATGATTACTTTAAAATATGGGCATCTACATATATATTGAGCAATACTGGCAATATTGCTCAAGGCATATTTGAGTATTGGTGTTGTATACGTGGTTTTTATTAATTTTATCAGTCTTTTGTCGTTCCTACCTATTAGGAGTCCACCTGCTTTCGTGATGTTTGACGGCGGAAGTGGTGACAGTGGCCCGCCAGGAGGCGACCTCGGACCCCCCGGAGGTCCACCAGGACCGCCTGGGGGCCCACCGTTCATGGGAGGACGTCCGCCATTTCGGCCGCCGTTCGTGCCTCCGATGGGACCAATGATGCGTCACGGTCCGCCAGGACACATGCGAGGCCCTCCAGGCTTTATGGGGGGTCCTCGAGGCCCACCAAGACATCACATGCCGCCACCACATATGATGGTCAGTATTTAAGGACGAAATTATGGTAATGTAATTATTAACGTTGTGGTTATTGAATAATTGTCGCAGTATGGATTAACAACTTGATGTCAAACCACTTCATAGACAGACTTGTTTCTCTGATACAGGGACGTATGAGAAGAGGTAATGATTATCTTGTAGGTGGCCCATATATGTTGTTAGCATCAAAGATAAGCTCAAACAATTTAGTAAAAGTTTAGGAGCTTACTAACTTCTTTTTTATTTCAACAAAGGTATCGCACATAAAGTAACTCTAATTTCAATCAATGTGGGAAAATTAACTTTGCACTTTTAGGGTGGTGGACCCATGATGGGCGGCCCGCCGATGATGCCTACTGGTATGCCCCCAATGGGAGTCAACGGTAATCTCGGTGGAGGTGGAGACGCTATCAAAACTACACCAGCAATCGATCCTGCTGCCGAAATTTGGGTCGAAACGCGAACAAAAGAAGGGAAGCTATACTTCTTTAACGCAAAAACACGTGCCAGCGCATGGACAAGACCCACAGGCGATGGTATCCAGGTGCTCAGTCAAGAACAGGTAGAACAGCTGGCCAAGAGTAAAGCGAAGGCCGCATCGTCACCTGCAGCCGCACACAATAACAGTAACAATTCTGGGACACCGAAATCGGAAGGCGCTTCCGAAGGTGCGGGCAGCAACGGACAGCAAGCCAACGGGTATGCTCTCATTTGATATTTGTTGATATTGATTTGTTCTCTGACTGTTGAGACGTAGCAGAAATTGCCATAGCAAGTTTGTCATAGAAGACTATGGTTAGCTAATTGTCTCATCTGATGTTTTTTACCCCAGCCCTTTCTTCATTGATCTCGCTCTATTTTAGTATCTTCATGTTCTTTTTAATCTAAAATAATAAAATTAAATTTTAAAAGTATTTTTTGAAATTAAGTATTAATTAAAATATATATTATATATTTTATAATATTATAATATATATAAATATTAATTAATAAAAATTAAGTTTATTTTTTACTTATTTTAAATTTGTACTTATTGTAAGTAAACTCTTTACAACTTTTGCGTAACTTAGATCTCCAGATGAAGCTGTCGAAGATGGTCCACCAGGTGACGAAAGACCACCAGGCGAAAGCGAGGAAAGACCAGCCACAAGGGACGCGCCTCCAGGTAGTATGGTAGCATCTAACGGGGGCCCACATGCAAGTCATCTGGGAGGACCACCTGGCCTTCATTCTGTAGGACCACCTGGAGGGCCTCACTCAGGACCCCACGGAGGTCCACCGGGTGGACCACATGGGGGACCGCACGGTGGACCACTAGGGGGGCCTCACGGAGGACCTCACGGAGGACCTCCAGTGGGCATGGGTGGACCGCCTCCGCACATGATGCGTGGACCAGGACATATGGGACCTTACAGAAGTACGTATAAAACTGTTGTACTTAACTGGTATTATCAGTAGACAATACACTTTTTACAAATGATTTTGGTGTCTATGACCGTGTTTTTCTTCTTTATTCGTGCTCCTTTTTTATTCTTTTTTTTTTTTTTGGCTTAACGTTCCTAGTTAGTAGATAGTAGTAGAAAGAATCAGGGTAAATGCGGTAATTTTTAGATGGTCACAAATAGATTAGTAGTTCTCTAAACACTGCTGATTTCAACATGGTTTCAGTTTCACATTAATTATTAATATGAGCGGTTTACTTGTGTTTCCAGTGCGTCCACCTTTCGGTATGCCTCCCTTTGGCGGTCCACCTTTCGGAATGGGTCCACCTGGAGGCCCACCTGGCTTTAATCAGGGCGGTTTCCCAGGCGGTCCTCCTCCTCCGCCATTCATGATGATGGGTGGCCCACCTGGAGGCCCGCCTGGTGCTTTTGGGGGCGGTGGTGGCCCGCCTGGCATGGGAATGTTTCCGAACCCTGCACTCGGAGCTCAAATGGGCGGCCAGAACATGGCGCCCGGACTCGACCAGCAAGCAACAGGGTTTCCAGGCGTTGGTGGGGTAGGCGTCAAACCGGATGAGTTAGGCTCAACCAAGGATGATTCGACGGGCGCTCCTGGTGTTTCTACCGGAGCAATTGATGGCGACCTTTTAGGGGGCAGCGGCAACACCGAGATAGACCCAGAAGTCCGGCGGAAGGCTGATGAATGGAAGGAATATAAAACGCCAGAAGGCAAGAGCTATTTCCACTGTACAGGAAATAACACAACTCAATGGGAAAAGCCGCAGGCTCTCGTCGATCTTGAAAATGAGGAGAAAAGGTTCGTTTGTAGCATCGCAAGTAAATACATGGTTGGCTCCGTGCATTGCTGAGCGGGAGTCCCATATGTATCCAAATTTTGCAACATATGAACATAGATTTACCAAGTATTAATTGTTCATAAATTTTTTACCATCATTGTAGGGTGAAAGAGCTCCAGGAGCGGTTAGATGCGAAGAAAGCTCGTGAAGTAGCGGCTGCCGCTCTTTCAAATCCTGCGCTAGCCCAGCTTGCTAACAATCCTGCGGGACTCGCAGGTCTTGGTGGTATCATGGGTCTGGGTGCATTAGGTGCGTCTGCCAGCACTCAGCAAGCGACGCAAGCAACTGAAATCAAACCCGAAGAAAAGCCACGTGATAAGACCAAACCCGTCAGCTCAACACCCGTACAGGGTACTCCATGGTGCGTCGTTTGGACAGGTGACGAAAAGGTATTCTTCTTTAATCCCACGACGAAGACATCTGTGTGGGAACGTCCAATTGAGCTGCAAGGTTAGTGATCTGCCTTTAAGTGAAAAATATCTGCGCAGATTCTATATCTATGACTATCAATTGATTCCGCTGGTTTTACAAAGGTTAATGGATGGATAGTTGTGATTTTATTCGTGCGAAAAAACCGTTTCTGTCTTCCACCTCAAGACAGTTCGCACAGTGGGTCATACCTATCGCTTTAGATCGTACAGTAGCTTTGTGTAACGTAAGTTTTTCTTGTTTACTATTAATACGTGGTGCATACAGGTCGTTCAGACGTTGACAAGCTTGTCAGTTCACCCCCATCGTCCACCAAGGATGAAGCCGATGCTGCAGCTCAGTCGACACAGAAGCGCCCAGCTCCCTCAAACGTTACAACCGCTAAAGATGAAGAGTCGGAGTCACCGCAAAAGCGACCTCGTGTAGAAGATTCGCCTCAGGACAAAGAAGCTCCAGAATCTGATGATAAGATGAACAAACCTGTTGAAGAGCTAGTAAAGGAAGATCCTATGGCGGCCGAAAAGAAAGCCGCTCGTGAAAGAGCGCTTTTACCGCTGGAGGAAAGAATGGCACAGTTTAGTCAGATGCTCGTTGAGAACGAGGTGAGCTATTGGCGACAGTGATCCAGGTGAAGTTGTTTGTATTGCTCGTGGATAACTTACCGAAGCTAGCTCTCCCATTAGTCTTAGAGCATTGCGTCAATCGTATGCTACATCTATACGAATCTTGTTTGAAATTCGTCTTTAGTTCGGTAAGAACGGGTTTCAACGTTGGGCAAAAATATTCCTGCGATTTTTCTAGCAGATGTACGCATGGCATTACTGATTCAAAATGCGTGAAGTATATTCTTCGAGGCAAGATGTTGATTTTTAATCATTTATAATAATAATAATAATTGGTAAAAATACGCTATTGTTAAAGCACGTTCAGCTACATGAAACATGCATTTGCATCTTCTGGGTTGGTTTGGCTTGAAACAGGTGTCTGCATTCAGCACTTGGGAGAAGGAATTACACAAAATTGTGTTCGACCCACGATATCTCCTCTTGTTGTCCAAGGAGCGTCGCCAAGTCTTCGAGAAGTACTGCAAGGATAAGGTCGAAGAAGAACGCAAGGAAAAGAAGAATAGAGCAAAACAACTAAAGGAAGCGTGAGTATTTCACGTTGCGGTTCGTCCTTTCCAGTTATTTTAGGATGCCGATAGAAATTTGACTTCTTTGAGAATTTTGTGGGCTTAATTTTTCGAACGCAGGAAGTGTATCGATAAGCCGAATACACCGATATAGGCTAGTGTCTAAACATGGCCCTCCATATATGACTTTTAGGTTTAAAGACCTTTTGGAAGAATCAAATCTGAGCTCTCGAAGTAGCTTCTCGGAATTCGCATCTAAACACGGTAAAGATGACAGGTTTAAAGGTGTCGAGAAGATGCGCGACAGGGAAAGCCTTTTCAACGACCATCTAGCTGAGGTTAAACGGCGTGAACGGGAAGAAAAGAGCGCGCTAAAAGACAAGGTGAGTGACAGATCCTATTTTTTCAGTGTGCTGTGGGCACTGTCTGTAATGTGCAGCAACGTTGTTTCTTGTTTTTTGAAGTGCTCAAATGAACGAATACGATCGTATCAAATCGAGGTTTTAAGCATTACCAAGGCGAAAAATTGCTATGTTGGAATATATCCCGATTTGATTCAATTTTAGGCTTCTAGACGATTACCGTTCTTCTGTGTTACGAGTCGAATTATTTCTTAACGCGTATTGTTGGGAATCTAAAATTTCAAACTACTACAGGAGTAAGGTAAATTTACCAACGTAAATTCCTGAAGTTGTTATCGGCAAATTAGCGTTTGTTAATTCACGATAGTCCTAGACGAGCGTCCTGTACAAGAGCTCTACTTCGACATCAACAATCGTTGTGGTAAATACAATGGTTTTCTGTCTACTAATGTAATTAATGCTTCAACTACAGTAGAAATGTCTGCCTTGAAATGAATTCTGATATTATCATGTTCTTTCCTTGTGTTTTTTTTAAGAATGTCAGGAAAGATGCGTTTATCCTCGAGCCGTTGCAGATGGTTTTTTCAATCTGAAATTGAATTTGTTAAAAGTACGAACAAGTATTCGTTGGTTCATTTTAGGCAGATGATGAGATGCTTAAAGCATTTATTCAAAATTACTGGGTTACAGAAAAATGGAAAAAATAGATTACCCTTTAAGTCGATTTTAAATTTCCGGAAATAAAAGGAATCATGGTTTTTGCTAAAAATCATATTCCAAATGCTGGCGTGACTCACAGATGTCAACGGAAAACCTTAATTATGAAGATCACAATCCCTGGAAACCACAAAATTGTAACGTGCTATTTTGTAGGACTTATTAGTGCGATGTATCAATATAGGTACGCGTACCCTGCTGTATGGCACTGGCTCGTTTATTCATATTTTGGGCTTTACGTAAATCAGTGTATTCTTTTATGCAGCATGAGCAACGTTGTCGTACATTGCTACACAAATATGTTTGAAGTGGGCGTCTTTGTGACCAGTGGAGCAACCTTGCAATACTTATTTGCTTATTGAGCGAAGACTTACGTTATCAGTATTGCCTTAATCAGGTCTAGTTACGTACATTGCAAGGTCACTTCACCGATTATGGCAAGCTTTAGTAGCTTCAAATGTTTAAACATGATAAGACTATAACAGTCTATGTGGTATATAATTTAGTCATTTGAGACGTTAAAAATGAATTTTTATATTGTGCTAATATAATATTCTAGTTTTAAGAAGAGCCAGTTGTATTTAGTGTTAGAGAATGTATTTGATTTAAACCACTATCCTGAACTGTTTTGTTTGCTATTAATAAAATGATTCGCGGCTGAGTTCTATTTTTTCTTCTTGACGAGCTGAGAAGCCATAACAACTGCACATATAAAATGTACGAACACTATCTCGCGCCACCCCTCACGACAAACAGGCGAAAACTGGACAGGAGAGTTGGGCGGTAACCCGTGTGAACATTATGGACATTCGCTTCGACAATGTTCAGTCCACTGCCAGGAGGTACACAAATTAATTTCTAGCATTCAGTTCTGTTCTACATCCGTCAGTTGATGTATAGCAAGCTAATGAATTGGCCGTTATTTGTCATCAATCAACATTTTGCTCTGCAGCGATTTCTAGTTACTTTCAAATACTTGAGACTGAAATTATCATGTAACATTGTTTTTAGTTCTCAAAATGCCGCTCGGACGTGCACTCATATTTCCTAATCGTATACTATAACAAGTGTAATTTATAATTAACGATACTTAAGCCGGTTGTAGTAGTAGTAGTATAGGCTGGAGAAAGATGAGAACTGATATAGATCGATCGATATTAGGGAAGGTCTTCTGCCACAATCGGATCTTTAGCAGGTTTTGGTGATGCTTATATCGACCCAATTCGTGAATGCTTTCGTTCCTAAATCTGTTATCGAAATTTGCTTCACCGCAACAGATACCACGGTGTACGTGAGTTACGACTATTCACATATTCTTTTTAATTTTCCCTGCCCACCGGTGATTTGTCGTTTGTGAAACAATCTTTACTAACAATTACGATAATGAGATTTCGCAAAGGTGTGGTGATTGACTTGTTGATGTCTTGGTCCAATTTAGAATTATCGCTAATGAAGTGGCCGCCTTGTGGCTAGGACAATATGAAAATGAGTCGAACGTCGAGCTGGCCTCTGCCGCCGAGTGTGATCTGTGATCTGACGAAGAATCTGTCATTGTGATGGCGAGACACCTGCCAACCAGATTCTTCTCTCACTTATGAACTGGTATAAATTGTGTCTTTGAATTAATCAACAACAGCTCAGGGCAGATGCAGGAACCGCAGCTCTGGGTGCGCAGGTGTGCCCGAACAACAACAACAACCACAGCCAGCAGCAACCCCTCTACGACGTAGGCTCCTCTCCTCCCGATTACCCTACAAAGGTTACGTTCTCCACCGAAAATCTCCATTGCTCACCATTCATTAAAGATCTGTCACCCCCCACTAAGATTTTTAACAGAAGAAAGACTTTAATTTTATAGCTGTTGTAAAAGCTTTTAATAGATCTTGCTGAAGTCTGCTGATGCTATGCAAAGCTCGGTTTAATAATAGTATTCGTGTTAAATTCTTACAGTCGAACGTGCACTTATCTTGTGATAAATACTTAATGTTTTTGTTTGTTGAAATTTAGAATAGTTTTCTGACTTAATTGTCATCTTAATGACATTCCAATAATTCTAAATGTTGATTGAATACTTGCAGCTTACATAGTTAGAAATTTTACGTTAAGTAGTCGTGGTCTTCAAATTACGGGAGGTTTATATATATATATATAGTTTACTAGTAATTGTTATTGTCATGTGTTGTAATATATCAGGTAGTTTAATTGCGAATATGCTCCTATTTTGGCCCACTCAAGATCAGTGGGATGCATTGTATTTAAGAAAGAGTTTTCGACTTGATAAGGTGTTTTTTAAATCATATGCTCTCAAAAATGGATTGTCCCAACTCGAGACTGGGACGAATCGAACCAATCGCTCAAAGGCTATTGTCTACGCCCAGACCCATGGCTACACTAAGTAACGTCGGTCAACTACAGGTGATCTTGACCATTAACTTCTACAGGCTGTGCGCTTTCAGTCGTATAAACTCCAGGCCCACGTGTTATTTCCGGTGGTAGGCGCTACTTGACCCGTCGAATGCGGACGGAACTGAAGCGATTAAGATTCGCCACACTGGGTAGCTAAATGACTTGAATTCCTCCATTGTCAGCGTCTTTGACTGTGCTGATTACAAGTAGACTTACTAAAAAATTTGTTATTTTTAATCGAATATGTACTGCATTCGTGTCACGCGTTTTAGACCAATTTAGGATTTCTTATTGAGCTTTCCTAGAATTTGATCTAAAGTTGTCTAAAATGCTTGATTGTAATATAATTCACTTTCAGGATTTTAATACTAGGTTATGCCGTTATGTGACATGCCTGCAGGAACTGTTATTGTTCCACATGTTTCATACTCCTGTTTGTGCATTTACAAGAGCCTTTCACCTAGGTAACAGCTGAACGTCTTCATACTAAACATCGAGGGAGCTTCACACTCATATTAAGCTCTGTTTTTCTCTAGGTGATAATTAATGTGAGCGTAATGACAAAAACCACCTGTTAGTTATTTTTTTAAACTATAAATTATATTTTCAAGTGTAAACATTAGCAAAGTAAGGAGACTAGTTTTGAAAAAAAAAACTGTCTTTTTACAGATGTTTCAGTGTTTAGGTACAATATCAAATTTTGTGGAGGCCAGTTACTATTAAATTGTCGCTTTTTTCTTTCTATCAGTAATGCAATGTGCTGCACTGGCTATTTACGATTGTATCATAATACCAATATTTAAATGCAGTTTTCCCGTTGGCGTTTGTGTGACCGTGTGTATGTGTGTGGATTATTGTAGCTTCGACGTGACTTCATGGACTTGCTGAGAGAACAACGCAAACTCGATCGCTACTCGTCGTGGACACGAACCAAGGAAGAAATTCGCGACGACCCTCGCTATCAAGCCATCGAAAGCTCGTCCACAAAGGAAGACTACTTCCGAGAGTACTGCTCTAAGCTGTCTAAGGTCAGGAGGCTATAATATATATATAAATATATATATAAAAAATATATATATTTTTTTTCTCATAAGAAAGTATTTGTTAAATGTGCGCAAACAAATGTTTGTATATAGACGCAGATGAACCCTATAATTGCTTAATCTAGATAGCATCAGCGAGGAACAGTTTTTCGTTATCGGGATCGTCATGACTGAATTATAAATTATTAAAATATTAATAAATGAAATATAAAAGTTATAAAGATTTGTGGCTTGTTTCTATGATCTTCGTGATGTCGTTAATAACTGCAGTCATCTTCGAACAACGATCGGGGTGGTAGCGACCGTGGACGTAGCAGCGCAGATCGAGGAGGTGGAGAACGTGGTAAGTCAGTCAGTGAAGCCGGCGAACGATCCGACTCCGAGGAGCGACAAAAGAAGGAGCGTATTGAAGCTTCGCTACGACAACGGGAGAAAGAAGTCGCTGAAACGCTTTCATCTAGTTTAAAGCAACGCGACCGAGAAAGGGAGATGCACCGACGCGAAGAAGCCGTTCAGAGTTTCCAGGTAAGCATATCTCCATAATATTGTCTTATGTGATTTGCTAGCGGATTGAAGTTGAAACGTCATTGCAATCCGCATATAAATAATGATGTTACATCTCATTTTTGTAGATTTATAGAGCTGCTTGTTTTGTCAATGATACGTTTGCTTTGTTTCTAACTATTATTAACAGGTAGGTACACTTTTTATTTTTGTTGTGGTTTCTTTCTCCGTGGTAGGCTCTGCTTACGGATCTGGTGCGCACATCGGACATGTCGTGGCACGACGCGAAAAAAATGCTTAAAAAAGATCACCGCTATGCAGGATCCCGTGAAGGTGGTTTGGACAAGGCCGAACGAGAGAGGCTCTTTGACGAACATGTTTCACAGCTAAAACGCAAGAAGAAGGACAAATTTAAGTTGATGCTCGCCGAATGCGGCGACATCACTCTCAATATGCCGTTCAGCGACGTGAGTA